GTGTAGCAGAGTTTACAGCACATTTGGGCTGTGAGAGGTCCTGTGATGGTTCTTTAATGGGAGGCATGGAGCTCTAACCACAGTCGACTGTTTGTGTTTCACAGCTGCTCATCTGAATTTTAACACCTAAAAGAACATGGATGAGACCGGGGAATCCCATTGGTCTATTTACCATATCTTGTGGTTAACACCAATGTTTGAGTTAAAACTGCACAATATCACGATGCTGACAGGGGCATCATGCTAACTCTCAGGTTAACATTACCCTCGTTCTCCAGCACTATGCATCTACTAGTTCCTTCAACAATACTCTTACTTTACCAAGCACATGATCTTTTCACTGGCTGACTGAGATGTGCTCCTGCTGTGTCCGAGGCTAGGAGTCGAGTCAGGCTGTCATTTTAAATTCAACTCAGTTCTTGCCTCAAGCCACTTTATATTGTAAGGTAAAGACCCTGCAGTATTAGAAAGCAAATCATTAGCAAGCAGTTGTTGACAGTGGGAAGGAAAAACTACCGTGTAAGAGGAAGAAACCTGCGGCAGAAGCAGGCTCAGGACAGAGGGTCGGGGTAGAGATGGGACAAACTGTAGGAGAGACGGCCATACTTTAACCGATTTATAAACACAGAGGAGCAAAGAGGAAATGCTCAGTGTATCATGGGAAGCCCCTCAGCAGCCCAAGCATATTGCACCATAAGTAGGGGGTTGTTCAGGATCACCTGATCCAGCCCAACTATAAGCTTTATCACACAGCTTTCAGTCTAATCTGTCTCCTGAATCCACACCAGGACCTGGTTCCACAGGTGGCCTTCACATGCTTACACGCAGGTGTATTCTTTGAAGCATCTCTTTTGGGGCCAGTGCCTTTAAAGAAGCCGTTTACATATTCGCAGCCATTGAATATTGATCGATTGTGATGTATTAGTTTGAGCGGTAGAGCCACTCTGTTAACACAGTAATCAAATACAGTGCACTGAGAATGAAAACACTGAAACTGAGAGTGTGTCCTAATGATCCTGGCCATGTCAGAGGGGACACAGGCCCACACAGGATCTGAGTGGATAAAACATTCCCCCACAGTGCAGCTGTGGTGCACAGACACCAGAGCAGTGTTTGCAGCAGCCTGTAACCATCAGTCTTTCTACTGATTTATTATTATCCATCCATCCATTCGCTTCCGCTTATCCTTTTCAGGGTCGCGGGGGGCGCTGGAGCCTATCCCAGCTGTCATAGGGCGAAAGGCGGGGTACACCCTGGACAGGTCGCCAGTCTGTCGCAGGGCTAACACATAGGGACAGACAACCATTCACACTCACATTCACACCTAGTGGCAATTTGGATTATTCAATTAACCTATCCCCACAAGCTGCATGTCTTTGGACGGTGGGAGGAAGCCGGAGTACCCGGAGAGAACCCACGCAAACACGGGGAGAACACGCAAACTCCACACAGAAAGACCCCGGCCTGATGGTGGAATTGAACTCAGGACCTTCTTGCTGTGCGGCAACAGTGCTAACCACCGTGCCACCGTGCTGCCCCTGATTTATTATTAATGCTCTGATTATGAAGGTTCCCCCCGACAAGTCTGTATGGCACAAAGGAGGAAACTCGTGTGTTGAAGCTCCTTCTGTCTCATGGTTTTATCAACACACTGAGCTAATTGTTGCAATTTACCACTTTGCACTTAATGATTTAATCATACTGTATTTAGCATTGTGTGGGCATGTGCTGTGTGTTAAATCACACATAGGTTTCCTCACACGTCTCCCCACATTAGCATGTGGTGTCTCATCCCCATCTCCCTCACCCACCAGTAAGAAGAAAATAGTGGGTAACTATGGAAACACACTGCAGTGGTTCTCTTTTTCTTTGGAGGGCTTAAGAAGATTTAAGGGAGTTCACAGACAAAACTGTAAAGAGCGAGGCCTGTTTGTGCTTCAGATCTCCACAGCCTGGCTTCACACAGACCCAAAGCAGCCACAGCTTCTTGTTGTTTGTGCATTAAACATAGCAGAGTCACTCTACAGCAGGGCTACTTTAGTGACATGAGGTCTCTGTGACTTCAGTTTTGCCTTTAATGCCCAGTAAGCTGGTCATGCTTTGGTGCATTTCAGTCCTTGTTTCTATGGTTCTCATGTGCAAATAGAAACGAGCGCTTCATTTTTGGCTTGGACGAGGCTCGCACCACACTGCACGCTTTAAAGTGACGTGCAAGCAAGATAGCTACACCAGCTGCTCATTAATCAGCCAGTCACATAGCTTTAAGCCTGTAAACATGGACGACCTGCAGAAATTCAAAGTAAACATTAGAATTCTGTGTGGCTGACCTCGACCATCCATGGTGACCACAGCGTGCCCATTTTATCTATGTGCACAGCATGCACGCACCGTGGAGGCCAGCTCCAAGGCAACAGCACAAGCATGCAGTATATGGAGGTGATGCACTGTCCCAGCTGCTGCTCTGCAGAGGTGTCAGCCCCTACGTCAGCTCAGCACTAAGAGTGGATAAGGATATCGATTCAGGAGTCACTGATCCACCTCGCTAACATCTACACCGAAAATCTGAGGAGTAACAGGGACTGAAGGAACAACTGGAGCAGCTGCACAGATCCCTCACACTGCCTGGCCTGTGGTAGAGGACCTTAGCCTGATGAACACACAAATACTGTTTTATATATTACACACACAGTGATGCTGAACATGAGAATGCACAGACGTGTACACGACGCAGAGTAGAAATCAGATTCAGCACCACGGTGAGGTCTGCTTTCAGAAGATTTATCGTCTGTTTGCACCTTTACTGACAGGTTCTGACATCCTCATGACAACATGAGCATGGGCTACCATGGCAACAGAGGCAAAAGATGTGTGAGTGGAGGACGTTATTAGGCCACGCCCATCACTGGAGAAACTAACTAGACTGGAAACCTAGTACAGATGGGGATGGGGGGGTACACTGGGAGAGCAGCTAATGAATAATTAGTGAGAGGGGAGATGGTGATGCCACATGGCTGTGGCTCATACTGTGGTGAGGTGGTTGTGTTGGGTTGTTGGAGTAAACTGCAGGAGGCGACACACACAGGCTGTGCCTGAGGCTGTGTAACATGCTGCTGCTCAGCACTATGCTCTTTAGTAACAACTCTATGAAGTCTTATGAAGATTGAGTTTAATGAAATGAAAAGTAGTATTGTTCTTTTCAGTGAGAAGGTATCTGACCTGACAGGGACAGATCAGCTTTGTGGGTGTAAGATGTCATCATGCTTATTTCTGCTTTTGTTTTAATGAACTGGTCACAGGTAATATTCACTGGTGTAATGCTAACTGTCAGCATACATTTTGATGAGTTAATGACACTCATGGTGAACTCAGCCATAGTAAAAATGACTACAGCGTGTTGAGTGGTGTAGCAGTCCGTGGAAACGGTGTCGTCTTCTGACTAAAGGCTTAAATCCCGATGATGTCACCAGTTTGGAAGTCAGTGTGAGGACTGGATGGTGACTTTTTTTGTCTCTGGGTGACTCTGCTATTATTCCCTTGTTGGATGATGGTGCAGCCTGGATGGGTCTTTGGAGAACAGGTGATTTATTCTCTTGGCCGGAGCTGTGAGCCTGTGTTTGGCAGCTTCTAGAGCCACACTCATGGACACCTGGTACTAGGAGTGATCTGTGAGGCAACATATGCAAGTGTCTGCACGAGGACTTTGTGCTCTTTGTTGGGGTCTTACCTGAGTCTCACCACAATCTTCATCCTCAGCTCAGCAGGTCCGTCTGTCATTGGTGACTGTGCATTAACCAGTCCACTTCTGCTCTGTTCTCCCAGGGCTGGCTCCATACTGTTGTTCCCACTGTGCTGTAGCTGTCTTCTATTATTACTGTTATTGCAGTGAGCTACTCGGTGCTTCTCACCCATAGCTGCTATATGCATATAACCCCTCTCACTGCGGTGGCTGGTATAGTAGCAGTCTGTGGTGGCCAATAATACGATTTCATGTTTGGGGGTTGGAGTCCTCTTTCATACAGTATCAACAGTGTTGGTTTGAGTGAGTGTATCAGAGAGGATTCGGGTTGTAGGAGACCGCACTGATAAACAGGGCTTTTATAACTGGTTGTAACGTTTCTTTTTTATTCTTTCATAGTTTAGAGGATTTAGTATTGTTGATGTTATAAGAAAACTGCCCACACGACTCAGCTTCATGCATTATGTTGGAAATGTTAGCAGGTCGGTTTGATTACAAATGTGAGGACTTGTTGTTGTTGTTGTTGTTGTTCTCCAGTTTGGATACCAGAAGAGTTTCTCTGTGTTAAGCCATCAACACCTTTGTGTGCAGCAGGTGAGGCAACATCTGACAAAGCAGCATTGTGTGAGGATGGAAGCACACATGACAGCAATGTGATGAAATAATCCAGCAGAGAATAAACACAAACAGAAGTCTTTATAGTGCTTCTTCATTCCATTCAATGAGCCTGATAATATTAATGACAGTGTGTCTGATAGGATTGTTTCAGACGGTCACACTATTGATGAGCCCAGGAAAGCCTTTGTAATAATGTTAAATATTGTTTCCAACAGCAGCAGCTCTCACACATCTAAATGAAGCAGCAGTTTATTTTTAGCTGACTGCACGGTCCTGTTATAAATAGCTTCACCGTCACAGTGTCGTCTGAATAAAAGGAATTATAAGGTACTGATGAGTTTATTCATCGGGTAAAACAAGCAGTGATGGAGGCGCTGAGGGAGAAACATGAAGGGAGGAGATTGAAGAGTGGTGAGGGAGGGCGTGGAGAAGGCAGAGCAGTGTGAGCTTTTACTGCTGTAGAGAAACCCGACGCTGATCTTCCCCCCTCGCTCAAACTCTGATGTTGTGCATGAAACCTGGACCTTTACCTCACTTTTTACCTGATTGTATCACTTTTTTCTTTTATCTTAGCTCCCCCTCCATCCCTCTCTCAATTAGTCCCTCATCATGCTACAGCTCTACAACCGTTTCCTCTCTCTCCTAGAATCGATCTACCGACGGGGGGCCAGAAGATGGAGGAAGCTCTACCGAGTGAACGGACATCTCTTCCAGGCCAAACGCTTTAACAGGGTGAGTGTCCTCAGGTCTTACTAATGCTCACTGGCACCTGAGGAGAACACTGGGTAACGGCTGCACTCTGCCTCGCTCAGGGTCATTCGAGCCACTGGAGATATATAATGTTAACCGTTGCTGTAGCCGTGCGTATGAACATCTGCCCTGTGCCAGTCTGGACTTGCAACATATGAAGCAAGTAAGAGGCGACAGATGTGTGTGTGTGTAGTTGCAGCTGGTAGAGCATCCGTTAGCAGCTTTGCCTTGTCTGAAAAAAGTATATTAGATTGTTTTAGTCACCAAATACTGACACTGGTGTTTGTGCTGCTGTATTTTTGGCCTCATGTGTCCAAAGAGCGTCCAGACGGGTCAGGCTGTGTTCAGGTGTGTTTAACCCTGAGCGTTACAGGGTGTGACGTACACACCTGAATGACAGCACCTAGCTGAAGCAGACACAGTAAGGACCGCTAACTACTGAAGTTAGTGGTGTTAGTGCAAGATGCTGCTGAGCGACGTGTCAGGAGGGTGAATATAGGCTCTGACCTGGACTGTCTATTGCTGTGAAAATAAAAGGTTTAGTTGGGGAAACTGTTACTTTGTGGTAATTATTTATAAATATCATGATTTAGTGTGTTACACTGGTATGTTTGTGTCATAAACATCCTGCATTTAAATGATGACAGGTAACCCAGTCACCTCACAGCTAAGCTGTTTGAACACTGGTGCATAATTCACGGTGTCCTCGTTGTGGCTGGTTCCCTCATCTCAGCTCAGACCTGGAAACAAGTGGGTGTCTCTGTGTGGGATAGTTTTCCATTTGATGTTGCCTCAGCGAACATGATGATGAATGAGGCCAGCCCTGTGGTTTAGAGGATGATATTTGGTGTTCCTGTGTCAGGACAATATGCCCATGATCATGGAAATGTAAACGCCCTCCAATCAGTGCACACAGTTTCACAGACAGAGCTGTGTGCTTGTTTTCCTGGTTTGTAATCCAGCTTGGAGTGAGATGGTCTTAATATGCGGACCAGAAAGTGGATAAGCTGAGTGCAGGCAGCGTGCTGGCTCAGCACTATGGCTCTCGGGGTTAGTATTACTGATGCACTCTGCCTTATTCAATGAAGAAATAAACTGTATGCAGGTATACACTATAGTGACTAGAGATGGACCGATCCGATATTACGTATCGGTATCGGTCCGATACTGACCTAAATTACTGGATCGGATATCGGAGAAAAATAAAAAATGTAATCCGATCCATTAAATATCACGAAAGCACCTCACAAAACTTGCAACACGCCGTAACTCACCTCAGAACGTTAGCACTTCGGAGCAGTATGCATCACGTGATAGAGCGGCTGTGGCATGCGGGACCTGTCGGTGGTCTGGATAGCATTTGGAGCTTTGCTAGCAACCCAGCATTTCATCTCCGACAAAGTTATCCCCGAGAGAAGTAAAGCAAGTGTGTAAGTCCATCTCTGAATGTATGTAAAGCATTCCTGCGTTAAGCTTAACAAGCGACTGCCTCTTCTTGCTGCTACTTCAATCATGAAACTGCTTAACGATCAGCTGATCGGCTTTTCTGTCGCGAGTCCGTGTCTCTAGTTTGCTTTTGGCCCACTTTGCACCAGAAAGAGGAAACCAGCGGCTGAACAACAGCAGCACGTTTAAGCTTGATCAGCTGTTGTTAGAATGTATTTAATATTTCTTTCTACTCCAGGATCTTTTTCTACGTAGCTGACGCTGGTAACTGTGCAGGGGCGGATCTAGCAAAGTTTAGCCAGGGGGGCCGATAGGGCATTAACAGGGAAAAGGGGGCACAAAGACATACTTTTCTTTCTTATTCTCATTTAAAATGTCTAGCTTTTAATAAATAATTATCTGACACCCAAAGTTTTAATTTGATGTAAAATGAATAGAAGTCAATTACTGTATATAGTAACTATTAAGTCTAATATATATACCCTAGTAAGCTATAGTACTTTTTCCTTTGGGAAGGTACCATCTGTGCAGTCTGCAATTCTGTTGAAGAAAGATGTTGAATCTATTTAATATTTCTTGAAAAAGAATTGATTTCTGTGCATTTTTTTTCACACTGCATCAAATTAAGGTTGATTACGTCGATTAAGCATCATGAGGTGGAGCGTGAGGGGTGGTTCCCTATTTTTTATTTATTTATTTTTGTTGTTGCTGGGAGTTGGAACCCTATTAGTTAGGTTGCTTAATATTTATGCTAAGTACTCTTTAAAATACCAGAATAGGGAGGATGGTGTAGGTTTATTAGATTGATCAGTATTGCTGAACTATGAAATATTTTTTTTTGCATACAGGTATAACAGAATAGCTTTAGTGTAGTTGTTGTTTTAAACTTGAGTATGAACTTATACAAAATGCAGCAAGATATTTAAAAAACAGTTTTGTTGATTAAAAAACACTATATCAGATTCATATCGGTATCGGCAGATATCCAAATTTATGATATCGGTATCGGACATAAAAAAGTGGTATTGTGCCATCTCTAATAGTGACATACAACAACTATCGTCACAGTGAGAGAGCTGCTGTTCGCTTCATGCTGCTGTCGTGTACAGTTTCACTGCTGCCTATACAAATAAGACCAGTTTTCATCTTAAAATACCAAATATGTAGGAGAAAGTGTAATCCCTGCCTTGATTATGTTGATTATGTTCCCATTCAGGACCTTTAATATTTGCACTGAGGTCCTAAGAATGACATAAAGGTGTAGGACTTGCTACACAGTGTACAGAAGCTTTAACAGGACCAGTTGCCCAGAGTCTCCGGGACTAATGCATCTTACCCTAATAGGAACTGCTGAGGAGGCGGGGAGATGCACCCAGCCCTTACTGCCTATGTGCAGATACCTGCACACCTCTGATGACCCACTCACTGAGCAGCTCTGATAGTTAGGTATAATATAGAACAAGAACAACCCATCTTTTTTAAAAGTGAATATCCACAATTTAGATTTTATATTTAGACAGGATATTTATTGAATTAATTTGGCGGTGCTTTCATGAAGGTGTGAAAGCACCTCATGAAAGCACGGGGTGGCTGTAGCTCAGGTAGTAGAGCGGGTTCGATCCCAGTCTGCATGCCAAATATCCTTTGGCAAGATACTATACCGAGTGTGTCTGAGTATCGGAGTGTGAACGTGTATGAATGTTAGTTAGGTAGCACTGAAAACCCAGACAAGTGCTTGTGTGAATGGATGTGATTGGGTGAATGAACAAGTTGTATAAAGTGCTTTGAGTGCTCAGAGTAGAAAAGCGCTGTGTAAGACCCGGTCCCTTTACCATTTACCAAAAAATGGGCCCAAGTGTAAATTTGTGAGGCAAACTTGGCAGAACCTTTATATCCAAAACAGTGGCAAAACAAAGTTCAACATCCAAGGGAAACACTGGGAATTCCAGGAATACACTGAGGAAACCCCGTAGGTAACAGACTAGGAACAACAGATGAGGAACACAGCGTGCTGACACAGGGAAGTAGAAACAGTACGACGGGATCTAAACCCTGGGACCCAGACTCACCACAGAGACAGAACAAACAAACTCAAAACAAAACAAACTCTAAGAACTGTAAATGAATTTGACACTGCACAACTACCACTGGTTTAGGAGAGGATGAGTAGAGACAGGTCTCCTGCCTGGCTGCATAGAATGAAAAGCAGATGTGGAACACTCCCCTAAACCCCTCACATCTACCACCATGGCAGAGTGACGTGGGAGGAAATATTCCATCCACGGTCGTTTCCTGTCGTAATCCTGCTGAACTTTCTCCAAGATAGCCCAGTGTTCACCACAGCTGAACACTCAGCTGCTAACAGCCTGACAGCGGTCTTTTCTCCACAGGGGGTGTCATCTGCCTGCATTTCTAGCTTTATCTTATACTCAAGTGCTTCTGGCATTACTGTGGCAGTGGTGTATAAAAGCTCACTGGTTTCCATGGTGGTGATAGTGGGGATATGGTGCAGAGGTCTTCCAGAGACCATCCAGGACAGAATTCCAGGATGTAAGATAAAAGCTGGTAGGATGTAGACTGAGAGGCACAATCAGGTGGGTGGGATAGTGTACAGGTGGTTTCATCAGATTCCTGGCACAAATCTCTCGATCCATTCCCCCCATCACTGGACCAGAGGTGGTTCCACCTTAGGTAGGCGAGCAGCAGCCGTGCTCCCATTCTTCACGACAGCCAGTGTCACAATGACCAGTTAACCTGACATGTGTGTCTTTCACTGTGAGAGGAAGCTGGTGTACCCCCAGAGAACCCACACAGCTGTGAAGATGGGAACATACAGAACCCACACTACACCAAGTCACGTTTACTTCTATCACAGCTTTAATCTAAAATGCTTTCAGTGACTCCACAGCTCTTACAGGTAATACCCATCCTGCCACGGTGACACGATTAAACCTTTATTAGAAGCCAAACATTACGCTGCACACATGTATTCACCAGCTGCCCACTGCTTGTCACCACTCAAGTCTTTTCCACATGTGGTAAATCAGTTTGATTGGACAGCATATTGAAAGCATCAGCCTGAGCAGTTCTGTGAGCTCGGCTTGTCATGGCTTCCAACACACGAGGCAGTGAGACACACAGCTTCACATTCCTAGTTTTACTGAACCTTCATGGGCTTTGTGGTGCATATTAATCAGGCATTTAACTAATTTAGCATACAAAGACTGTGCAGCTGTGGCATGTAAGGAGTGTTGTGTATAGATATTTAGATTTATAGATTGGGGCACATTAGGAAATGTACATCAAGTCAGGAGATGTTCCTGCTGTTTCCTTCATGAATTCATAACAGCAGGCGCCTGAATTGTTAAACAGCTGGCTCTCAGACTGGGACTTGTGTGACTGTTGCTATGCCAGCTCCCAGGATTCTGGTTGGTTAGTGTGTTGTCCTCAGGATATAAATAAGAGCTGAGGAGAAGTAGGCCAAATTTCTCCTCCTTTCTCTCACTCTCTCTCTTTACATCTGCGTCCCTCCCTCT